CAAACATTTTTTTCCTCTTCCATTTTCGCCTAAAATCAACTCTTAAAAAGATACATAATTAAATAGGAAGAAAAATATGACATTTTTCCAATTTTTTAAATATATTGTGCCGTCAAAAGTTAAGCCCACGTTTTTTTTTATGCGCATAGAAAAATTTTCATTTCTAGTGATACTTGAAAGCCAAAAAGCCAAAAATCTCCGTGGATATACGATTCACCCAAACCAAAACAGATACCGCCTAGTCTAATAAGTGGATTCAACATTTTACATCTTTCAACACAGATAAGTTAATTTTCCCAAATTCCGTTTACATTATTTCGTGCGTATCATTCACGGTTCAATTTTGTTATTGTTTGATGTTGGCTAATGAAGCTGCCGAATAAGAAAAAAGGGTAAAAACAACACTGTATTTTGTTCAGTATTTTATAACTCTTCACCTGTTTTAACTTTCCTAAATGCCACCTTGCCTACTTTTACTATCACACAATGGTTACGATTGTTTTCTACGTTGGAATATGTAAAGTGACCCTAAAATATTTCAATTAAAATGGATTAATATTATTGTCACATACATAAGTTAACAAACTAAACACGGGGTTTATAAAAATAACCAACATTAGTTAATATTTACCGAGTCATGCAAAAAGTATTAATTTTTACAAACACCAGAAAATATTTGTAATGTTTGGCGCTTAATTCGATTAAGTATAGTATGCATGGGCTTATTAGGTTGAGATATTATTGGGTTAAATGTTTATGGGATTTGGTTAATTGGATTTAGCGTTGGAAGCTTGAGTCTTAAGGTTATAGGTTTTTTTGAGGTTATGAAAAAGCCTGATGTGATGGGATTAAATGGACCTCGGATTCCGCGACCAAAAAAACGTATAATAAACATGCTCTGACCTCTGGGCCCGAAAGTCAATTTTTTTGTGTGGCTATGTTATTATTGGCGTTTAAAGTTTAAACATTAGTTAACATTTATTAACCAAATTAACAAATCCTAAGACTATCAAAATTGTTTAAAATGTCCACCCTCGACTCGAGTGCAAGCCTCACATCGGCGAAATAAATAAAGATTCCGTCACTCGACGGATGAGATTTGGATAATTTCTTATCTGGTTAGCTGCATTCTGAATTATTTCAAGCAACTGCTGACGGGTACCTACTGATTTGAACATGACAGACAAGCTGCTTCATATGTTCCATAATTAAATATCCAAAGGATTTAGATCTAGGGAACGCGGTGGCCATGCTATTGGACCTAGTTGAACTATCCATTTATTTGGGAAATGATCATTTAAACAAGTAGTTACTTGTCCCCTCTATGTGGTAGTGTACCATCGTGCTGATACCACATGTTCTGAACAATATTATGCCCCACATCTTGATCTAATTGCATATGGATTTTATAACGCCCAGATATGTTTATTATGATTATTATTTATGCCGTCCCTAGTAAAACACGCTTCATCAGACCATAAGCTAAATGAATCTATCATTTTGTGCATGTTGTTGATGTAACCAGCGATAAAATTCTAATAGTTGAAGAGCATCTTCAGCATGTACATTTTNAACCATTTTTGACACTAACTACTAAAAACCTTTTGTAAACACCACTATCGCAACGACGATTGCAAAATCCGATTTCAGTATTCGGAGTCGCTGAGGCCACGTGGCGAATGATGCTAGAGACTACAGTTGTCCAGCTATGTAGTGGTTGAATGTACTATAACTTCAATATTTTTTTTCTCGGAAACTATAAGGATTTTACAAAAAAATTTTTTACAATATTGATTCCATTTCTCATGCTGCATCTATTCGCAAATGTTTTTGGATAAGTTGTGAATCACCCTGTATAGGTATTCTTATATTTACAGTTTGTATCCACTTAGTGTCTTTTAACAGAATATAACTCGGCAATCTTTATTTTATAAAACAAAACTATGTAGTATTATAATAGCTATTAACGTAAATCAACTTGTATTTTAAAAAGAATAAAAAATGGCAGCTCTTTTTATGTGACTTCCGATGTAGTGTATGATTATATAAATCGCTTCCCCAAATTTTCTCCCATTTCATATAAAACATAAATACTTACAATATACAGGGCGTTTCCAATCTATTAAAATGGAACAGATAAAAGAAAATTTGTTTTTAAGGTGAATGAACACAATGAATTCTTAATAAAAAAGATATAGGACGTTCAAATTTACATGGCTTTAATTACTGTAATCATGCTAATTGAAAAATGCAGTTTAATATATAAAATCAATAATAAATATCCTCTCTTGATACCCGCAAACTGTGTTTTTGGTAAGTCACCTTTTCTTATCGAGTTTGTATTTGCATAACCCCGTGTGGATTTAGGCCAGACTTATTTTTTTTAGCATTGTTTGTATAGCACTCGAAGGAGAGCGATCTTGAACGTGAAAGAAAGCCAAACTCACCTTCCAGCGGAAATATCGATGCACTCTTTCCACCTGGCCTCTCGTTCCGTCCTTCCAGTTACGATTGTTGTATAATCAAGTTGGCGTTTTCTCAATTTATCTGTAAGATAGGATACAGAGGAAGCGGCGGCTCTCCACATGACATAGTTTGCTTGCACTCTGAAATTAAAAAGTTGTTTTGAAAAAATTGGTATATTGGTACGAAATTCCCATGGACTTATTCTCGAAAAGTATAATTTCTGGACGTACTTTGTAAATCATGGCATGCTAGACTTATTGAGTTATTATAGCGGTAAAAAAAATAATGAAAAACTTTGAATGCTGATATTATTTGTCAAAAAAAAAATCCTTATAAACATACATAATTTTTGTGTAATAATAATAATTATATAATTGATATGTCGATTAAAATTTTTTAGTAGAATATTTTTATTGAAACACAATCATATAAAAAAAATGTTATAATCATCTGGGAGCTTATTTTTTAGTAGATGGTATTCCTATCAGACAACAAGTTAACATTTATTGTTTTGAAGATGGTTATAATTTGCACATTTTGTAATGAAACTAATTGTTACTCAGATTTCGTCAACCATTTTTTCTAATAACAGTGAGAATAAATTCCGATTTATTTCACCATTTGATTGGACCATGATTTCAAACATTTCGAAATTACAGTACACAGATTTTTCTTTCTTAATGTTCTTAAACAAAACATAATTTACTTTTTGCATCAAAGATAGATGTATTGGTATATAAAAATAATTTTCACATTTTTTTAATCAAGATTATGATCTGGATAAGATAAAAGTTTTCTGATAAATTAATATTTTGATGATCATGCTTTGTTCCTGGTTTATCAAGATACTGTCAAATGCCAATAATAGATATACCCTCTGCAAATATTATACAGAGTGTTTTCACGGTCCATGTTCTAATTTCAACAAGCTTTCCGCAGATCATTTTAGGTCACAAAAACCTTAATTAACCACTGGTTTTCGAGATACAGAGTTATGAGTTTTAAAAAGGTATTAGATTGAATCCAATATCTTTGAGGATGCTTGACCTAACTTGATGAAGCTAGTAACAATTGATTTATCGACAGGCGAAAATTTTTTTTTTAGTAACATCGACGATGTTAACAGATATTACAGGATTTTATATCAATAAAATCAAAAACCATACGTACGTAAAGAGCTGAATGAATTCAATTAAAGCACATCTAACACCTTATCTCATAATATTTACAGGAATAATAAACAGGGTTGTGGTTAAATATCCCAAAAGCAGTTTAAAATGCTTTATAATAATAGAAAAATGCCAAAAGTTGCAAGAATATAAAATTAGAATAAAAAATAAAAAAACCATCAGTATTTTTCTCTTCTGTGATATCGAAACATCGTTCCCAACATCTTTGATACTGTTTTCCAGTGATATCACTTTCAGGAAAATATGCGAATGGAAAAAATATATTTTTGAGATCATGCGACATCTCATCTTTGGTATTGGCCAATAATGCTTTTACCACATTTGCAAAACAATTCTAAATCACTAGTTCTTTTTCATTAAGTTGTCTTTTGAAGATGGTTCTTTGTTCATAGCTTTTACGAAATTTCTTTGTATACCAAATTTAATGTGCAGATGACAAGGAAGTACTTTTTGTGATTTTATACAGGGGATATATTTTACAATGGAGGTAGCTGGCTCAAAAAAGTTCTTTGGGGCTTTTCTTGTTTTACAAAACCGTCCAATAAACATAAATAATAGTTCTTTGCAAATCCTCCTTGAACTCATAGTATTACATATAGTTATCACTTTTAAATCTACGAACTTTCTATTTGTAGCCCTGGTATTTAATTTCATTTAAAATGGTGTTGGTAAAAGTTATAATATGTTTCTTTCACTGATACTGAATGAGCTGTTGGTATATAGAAGTGTAACATTCTTCAAGTTTAAAAACGCAGTTGGTATAGGCAATTTTGACTACTCTTAGAAAGGTCAAAGTTGGGTATTCAATTTCTTTACTTGTTGAAATAACCTGGTGAGGCGAAAATGGTAGTGTTAAAACGATTAGTTAACTCTCTTCACATTAAACGTCATCTACAGAGAAGAAATAAAGAGATGCTAAAGACAAAGAGTGAATTGGTGCATACATATCTATCAACCAGAGACAAAGATGCTTAGAGGCACTGACAATAAAATTTCACCCTTGAAAATTTTAACATCTTATACCTCGAAAACCAATAACTGAGGATTATTAAGGATTTTTTAACTAAAATCTTTCAAGGAATATCTTGTTGAAGTTATGACATCGACTTAAAAATCTGTCGAAAACTGTTTAACAAGCCTATTTATTTATAGTCACTGCTAAAGTATCGTTCGTTCGAATTTTAATTTAGTTTAATCATAGCGTACATATATTCGAGTTCTGAAGTGTTGGAACACTATTTTGTCAAAAAACGCATTTATTGTGGTCTATAGATAATAAAATATTACCTTTTCGGTGTTCTGCTGACAAGGGCCTCAAAATTCTTTATATAAGAGGGTACGCTGACGACGATTGTTTCATCGTTGGTGACTCTGGTGTCTGGAGCAAGAAGAGTATTCATGTACTCTGTCCACGGAATGCTTGGGAATTTTGATTGCAGTTCTTCGATGGTCATGGGGTTGTAGAGAGCTGTCGCGTTTCTGCGCTTTTCGCTTGGCAGCGAAATCTGAAAAAAATACACTACCATACATTCTGTTACAATTTTAAGTTGAAGCAATTTGCTTTAAAAAAAAAAGATGTTGCTACTCTTAGATAGTATAGGTTCGGAAATGCCGCATCAAAAAAAAAAATACAGGGCGTCCAAAGTCAAATTCTGTAATAATTTTTGAGCAATATCTCAGAAACTGATAAAAAAGACAAACATGTTTCATAGTTCTTAGTTTTTCACAGATAGTGCAATTTTATCCAAATTTCGAAGCAGTAATTGATTTCTTCCTAGTAAAAATTTAACATGTTTGGTATCAAAAACAGAGTACATTTTTTTAAATTAGCCCAATACCTTAAAATAAAGTAAAAATCTAACAGCTTTCACCAAATTGACAAGAATTCAATAGATATCCTTAAAAGATGTGTTTTGTGACCTTACACTATTCTGATTTGGGTTCACCAAATTTTGTAATTTTTTAGATATTGCTCAAAAATTATTTAGAAACATTAATGTGAATCTTCCGCATCTGTTTCAATTTGGTCCATTGCAATTGAAACACCCTGTTTATAGAGAAACGACTTACCACTAGAAAATAATTGTTCCGATATAATGCATTGTTGTCGTTTTCTGAAACATGTATTTTTTTTTAACAAAACATCTATTTATATGTCTTTCGTTCATTGAATGACCTAAAAAACTAATTTTCATGCAATGTTCCTTTTCTATTGGTTAGTTACGGTGCTATTGTACTGTAGATTGGCATTTTTCAAGAAATGTGTGTCAAGGCCATTTTAGTGCATATAATCAATTGGTAAAATTTTATCAAATTTAATACCTTGAAATTAATTTTGTAATTCCAAAATCATAGCTAATCGATCGGCTTTGATCATGCCATGTCATAAACAAAAAATGTACGAAATTCGGTCTCCTTGGTGTAAAGAGAAACAATAAACAGTTGTTAATAATTATTTATTTATTTAACTGTGGGATTTTTTCATTTTACTTTTAACTCAATTTTTACATTTAACTTAAGCTAAAAAAAATATATTATATGTTTAATTATGTTCCCGAACATATTATTTATTTATTTTTGTTTTTAATGATGTTATGTTTGTAAGGTTGTTTTACGTTGAAAATTATGTGATTACTAGACATCGGAAACTTTGGCAATAATTAAATAAATAAATAGTAGTAATATAAATATATTTTGCTAGTACTAGCAGACACAGGCTAAATCTGTAGTCAAGTAGTGTGCCGCTCTATGCTCACAATACACTGCAACAAAAAAACACGTGCCATACACTCCACCAAGCGAAGTGTCAAACTTATTCACATACGCACAAACAACAATGAAATGTACGGTCAATGTCTCAGCAAACAAACTGGGATTGTTCAACGGCACACTAGGCCGACAGGGCAGTCATTGGGGTGCCACTAGATACTTATGGAATACATTGATCGATGCGAAGCTTTAAATCAGGCGAAGGCGTGTATCTTCGCAAGTGTATCGTCCTGTGCATTTTCAGTGCAATTTTCTTATTACAATAAATCAATGAAGGTCGAAGTCGAAGAATATCGTGTTTATATTTTAATATTCTTAAAATAACGCGGAAAATTTCAAGGCACGCCCCTGTCGCGGTAAATTGTTACAGCAGTTTCGATAACAGAACGTTATTGGCTTATTCCTTTCTTGGAATCCTATTTCAACAAATATTGTACGGACTTCATATATTTTATGGCAACTTCCATGTGAAGCGTTTATTGTAGTAAAATAGACACTGCCTATCTTTTATTTCATATAATGTAAGAAGGTAACGGTTTTGTCACTTTCCGTTTGACTAAAATTACATGAGAGAGAGCCTGGCCCTCATTGCAGCTGTACCACATTGCAGCCACCCTAACATTTTCGGTCTCTAGTGATTATTAATATTAATATTAATAAATATGCAATTTTTTATGCTTTTTTCCTTTTTACAGAAAACTCTAGTCAATTAAAAACGAATAAGCAACATTTTTAAAATCCGTGATATGGCAGGAAAATAAATACTACAATTATTTACACAGAACTTGTAGGTATCTAGCTGTGAAGTTTTGATATGAACCTTCGATACTTCACATTTTTACACTTTAAAAAAACATCTGTCGTCACTTGCTACGCACGCTAGATATATTTTTAATTAAAAACAACAAAAAAAAGTTAATTACATATATGTGTATACACGGTCAACCGATTTATGTAAATAAGCAATCCAAAACTATCTAGATGATATTAGTCGTAATGATTAAATGATGTTAACAGTTAAGTATTTATTATCATTCGAGTATGTGCTTGGCGATAACTTTCTATTGTCGGAACAATTAACAACTTTCATATTGCGATTTACGGTGTACAGGGTGTTATACGCAGTATAATTTATTCTAAATGAAAAGATCCTTGCAAATGAGGTGTTTATTTTCCGATTGAACTCATTTTTTTAAAAATTTGTTTTGAGTTATCAAAGACAACTTATTTGTTGTTAAATTGTCTTAAAAAAACTAGAATTCCTTTTTTACTATTTTCTACTTCATCTAATGGAGGTCGCATTGTATATAGGATGTCTATTTTTCGAGTCGCACAATGGGAATCTCGATTATTTTAAGAGATGTGTCAAATTAGGAGTAAAATTTCAAATGATATACCGAAAAGAAATTTGCCTACCTCTTTTGGTGTCAATGAAACACTGAAAATTTTGAAATTCGTTTCATTCTTTTAATCGAAACTTCGTTTATGGCCTTGCTAACGGCAACACATTAACCGCCATGTACTTTCATGAAGAAGTATATCCAGATTGGGTTATCCAGCAACATGCTATGTTTAGTCGTTTGCATCTACGAATTAATGAACTTGGAAGTTTTAAGAAACTCTCAAAGAATTACTCCTCAAATGGAAGATGCTTAACGAGATCGAAGATGGCTCTAGAGCAAGTACTAGGAAAATTGTTCTCATATTTAGTATTAGCCACTCAAGACTTTAGAGGATCCAAAAATTATCTTTTGATATTGATTATTTTCCATGAGGAATGGCTTTATGCCGATGGTGGCACAAAGAGAATAGGGCATAATCCTCGATTTTTTGTACAATTACTCTTTACCAATCACTTCAACTTTTCATAAAAATCACATAAGTACCTAGTTATGAAAATCCACAAACGATCAGAAAGCCATAATCAATAAAAGTTTTCCCCTAATGTGTAGGTAGGAATTGGCGGAGGCTTTCTGATTGACTTATTCTTTCTTCCGGGTAGTTGACTGGAGAAAATCACATATCCTTTAAAAAGGTTCTGCCAACATTGCGTGAAGAAGTTTTGTTAAGACAACCAACGTTGTTTATGCCCGATGGTTTTGCATGTTGCATTTCCAAATTGGTAGAGGAGGAGCACAATTTTGTCCACCACGGTACCTAGACCTAAACCCTTTCTTTGTCTGGGAACATTTTCAACAACTAGGTTTATACGACTCTAGTTGAAAGTTTCTCCAGGTATTTTTCTTCGCCAATAAGTGCGTTGATGAAGTTGATGGTTGAAAACGTATTTAGTCCTATTATACTAGTACTCAGTATTACCTTTATTGTTGTGTTAAAAATACAAAAGTTTCTCAGCAAACCAAGTTTAAAATTTTATTTTCTGAATTGTAAATTTTTATCTCCATAACAAAATACAACGAAAAAATCATTAATACTCCAGTCGGCAGAGGCCGAAAAGTTACTGTTGGTGACATTTTCTTGATAACTCGGAAATAACTACACAGGAATACTTTAAATGAGGAGTACAATAACAAGCTAATTTGCTGACAAGGTATCTTATCAGGAAAAAAAATTATTAACAATTTAATCGTGAAAAAATAAACGGTATAAAACGCCAATTTTTTAAGTTGCTGTAAAAATGTCAATTATAAGCAAAAAGTGATACAACTTTCGAAAACTATAGTTCAATATATATACAATAATGACGCTAAAGCCGAAAATCAGGAGAGCAAAACTTTTTGTTCTATAAGTTGTTATACATTCATCGGCATCTGAAACTCGAAACTTTGCCAAATTTGTTCGAAGCTTTGCTGACACTTGAAATTTGGTACACACATAGTGTAAATATGCAGAAACCAAAAGCAATTTGCAAAATTCAAGTATCTTCATTTTTGCAGTTTTGGTAAGGTTTTATACGTCACCCTAGTTTTATACGTCACCGTTTTTTTAATTTTTGGACGTATATTTATGTATATTTATAAAATATTCCATTACGGTAGATTAGCCAGCATAATTACCTACAATTTAAAAAAATATATATTTTCATCGTTTAGATCCTAAGCTACTTAACATTTTGCGCCTGTTAGCCGTAGTCGTACATTATTCAACATATCAACATAAAACAAAATCGTACGTGTGGGGTAAACCTTTAACTTTAAGTAAACAATTGTTTAAATTTACTGTTGCATATTTCTAATAGTATACAAGCGCCGAAGAGCGGAGCTCGCGCTCGAAAATGAAAAGTTAAAGGTTTACCCCACACGTACGATTTTGTTTTATGTTAATATGTTGAATAATGTACGACTACGGCTAACAGGCGCAAAATGTTAAGTAGCTTAGGATCTAAACGATGAAAATATTTTTTTTTTTAAATTGTAGGTAATTGTGCTGGCTAATCTACCGTAATGGAATATTTTATAAATATACATAAATATACGTCCAAAAATTAAAAAAACGGTGACGTATAAAACTAGGGTGACGTATAAAACCTTACCAAAACTGCAAAAATGAAGATACTTGAATTTTGCAAATTGCTTTTGGTTTCTGCATATTTACACTATGTGTGTACCAAATTTCAAGTGTCAGCAAAGCTTCGAACAAATTTGGCAAAGTTTCGAGTTTCAGATGCCGATGAATGTATAACACCTTATAGAACAAAAAGTTTTGCTCTCCTGATTTTCGGCTTTAGCGTCATTATTGTATATATATTGAACTATAGTTTTCGAAAGTTTTATCACTTTTTGTTTATAATTGACATTTTTACAGCAACTTAAAAAAATTGGCGTTTTATACCGTTTTTTCAATCTCACGGCTTTGTTATTGCAAATTTCGTAATCGGACCACCGCCATTTTGTAGCTATTTTTATTACGAACAAAATCATGTCCTAAGCATTTTTTCGTACAAAGTCATCCCGCTGAGTTATTTAAAGAAAACTACTAAAAAAAATTTTTTTCACGATTAAATTGTTAATAACTTTTTTTCCTGATAAAATACTTTGTCAGCAAATTAGCCTGTTATTGTACTCATCATTTAAAGTAGACCTGTGTAGTTATTTCCGGGTTATCAAGGTTTGACACACGCCGAAGCTCTACCAACTGGACTATAAACCTTACAATTTTCAACCACTTTCGGGAGTCGCAGATGACTAAAAATATCGGTGTAAAGAAAGTCTTTGATAAGATAAAATAACGCCTCAAATTCCATTATTCTTTATCCAACTGAGACAAATGATATAAATAATGATCTCCAATTGCAGTGATTTTTGTAAACAAGTTTATATAGAAGATCTGATCTTTACTTTTTGACAAGGAGTTTTTCTCAATATTAAAGAAATGCTTCTGTCATAACTAAAAATTATTTAACGCCATATAAGAAACTGCCTGTATAATCCTAAAACGTGTATACGCCACCAGCCTACCAATTTGGTATTCGCCTAGCCAAAAGCTAGAGTGCGAAAACATATAAGACACAATTTAACATCGTTACTCTTTACTCACGTTTGCCAACTTCATTTCAAATTCTAGAGACTCCCTTAGTTCCCTTACGGCCCTTTCTCTATCCGCCCCGAAAAGAACTGCGATATCAACCATGTAGTTATAGTAGGCCCTCACTATTTTATCGTCCAAGCCCTTGGTGAGGAATTCCCTTCGTAGACCTAAGGAGGCTTGATCCAACTGAAAAGAGAAATATACTTGAAGTATTTAAATAAAAAAAAGTATTTTGTGTAACAAGTACTTGACATAACTTTAATTAAGTTATTTCATCTTCAATTCAGTGTAGTACATACAAATTAGAATATAGGGAACACGAGATGAAAAACATAATTCCGGAAATGGTTTCAAAACTGCGGAAACGCAGATGACTTAGAAATGATATAGAAAAAATGTTCCTTCCATTGAAAGATTCATTTTTTATGTGCAGCGCAGAATAATTTACATAAAGATTTAAAATATAATTTGCTATAACCGGTTATACAAGCACATCTCATATATTTAAATAGAAATTGTAGGTAATAAGGTAATATAGAAATACGTTAACGATTTATTATACATAATGATCTCATTGGCAAATCATATATTTACTCAGGAGGCGAAATAAAATATACGCACATCAAAATAGGTCGCCGAAATAAAGAAATTGGGTAGTAATTAAAAAACAAATATTTACAATGCCGACGATTTGTTTGAAAACAATCACCCATAAAGGAAACTATATAAATGTACTGATTAGGTATTTTATTAACTTGTTTTTATACTCGTTCCCACTTGAATTTGTGGGAATTTGAAATGTTTGTATTTGAAATGTTACTTCATCGAGACTAATAAGAAACAATGTTTTACATTTATTATAAATCAAATTATATTTACAAATAATTAGATGCAACGTGTTCTAAATTGCCTGCCGACGGGATACTACTCGTACATTACAAAAGTCTTTTTCTATAAATTTCTGCAGAAGATGGTAAATAAGGAAAAAATGTATACTTATTTAAACTGGCATATTTTTGAGGATTTACACAGTATTAAGAATGCTACATTTAAACAAGGGGTAGTTTTAGGAAGTGACTATGTTATCCCCCAAACTTCTTTATTTTGCCTAATGAAAATTGGAAAAATGTTAATGTCTGTTGAAGATAAACAAGATATATACTTCTGTTAAATTTCAATCATTCAAATCGTTTTCGAAATCAGACTTTTCAAGTATCGACCGCATTTGCTTTGAAATATAATATAGCTTGTGGTGATACTTTAGAGTAGGCAAAATTTTAAGTATCCTAAAAACTGAATGTATGCTCAACTTGAAATTTCGCCTACATTTAATTATCACTATAAGCTATCATTTGGACCACTTTTAAATTGAATTCTTGAGGTCGACGAAACGGGTGAAAAATATGTTTTCTTCTGGGTAACTCTTTGAAATTTGATAATCTACGTATATTTTATTTCAAATATTTTCTTAAAAATATGTAGCGTTCTTCAACGAAAACCCAAGAAATTATAAAATTATGAATCTCTCACCAACAGATCAAGCTATCAAAACTATACAGGAACACTTTTCCTGTTTTCAGTGTCTGGGGATTAGCACTTATTAAAGTTTGTATGGGTTAAAAATAAAAAAAGCTAAAGTTCAAAAAGTTATTTATCACCTATAAAAATGCACCCTACACGTCGTCTTTTCCTTAATAGTCTAGAAACTAATATTTATCTGTTTCTTTTTTTAATGTGGTAACAATAAAGAAGCCAATGAAACGGTAATAGCTATCCCATGAAGCTTTAATTTATACACAGGGTTACAACTTTTTAATTGTCCTATGCAGGTATCTTTCTTATTTTAAGAGTTACAGAAATCAGCAAAAATGTGCAGAATTTTATGGCGATCACGGATATTTTTTAAATTTAGAAAATTCAGAATAGTTCCGAAGATATTCGAACAAAACCGATTCTTTGCTTAATGTTTAATAAAAAAGTCAAGTAGACATGTGAAACATTTAATTTTTTCTATAAATTTATTTAATATTCCTTATTTTTAATACTTTTTTACATAACAATAACACGGGCAACGAACAATTTGTGATAAAATTTAAATTTACCGTTATTTATTGCTTTATCTATGTTGATTTGTCCATTGTTCTTGTTATTGTTTTGTAAATAAAGGTTGCAGTGTTAACAAACGTTACGATAAGAAATACTAAATTAATTTATAGAAAAAATTCAAATGTTTCACATGGATACTTGCCCATCGAAACATTTCTGTAACTATTAAGATGAAAATAAATAACCTCTATTAGAGTACAATGCAAAAGTTGTAACCCTATATAATCTATATCTATATAAAAAAGATACCTTATATCGCGAAACATTGTCATTTTCTTGTTGACTAGAAATTTAAACATTATGTACCTAATACCTTCGAAAAGCAAGTACTCATTGCCTATAGGAAAAATTAATAAAACTATACTTTTTAAATCATCAAAAACCTATGCAGTTTAAGAATTACTTGCATATTATTCACTTTGTGTGTTGAGAAAAGAAATAATACTATAACTGAATCAGTGAGAGAATCATCGTATGTTCCTTGCGTAGCAATAATACAGGGTGTCCCGAAATTCATGCAACAAAAGTTGGTCATAGATTTTAAGACAAATTTAGGTGACCCGTATTTTTTATTTTTGCCAACTGGCCCCCTCTTTCGGAGTTACAGCCCCCTGAAATCTGCGCCTAAGAAGTCTTTTTTATATCTCAAAACCATGTTGTACGAGAATCACTAAATTTGGTATACAGGGTTTTATGACATGTGGAATCTCACAGTGCTATGCTTTTTGGCGAGAAACCCCCTTAAGACATTTTTTCGTGGGCCCCTTGTCTTTGGAATCAGAAAAATTTGGTCGCAAATTAGATTTTTTTTTTAAATTATTAGTTAGCTAGAAAGCCATTGAAATTAGAAACATTTTGATATTTGTTTCGTAAAACGTAATGTTTTTGAGGAAAATGGCGAATCGCGATATGCATTCGATCACATTTTGACATTTTTTTCGAAAACATTGCATTTCACGAAAAAAGTGTAAAGAGACAAAAAGTTTCTAAATTTAATGGCTTTCTAGTGGACTGATAATTTTTAAGAAATTTAAATATGCGACCAAATTTTTTTGGCTTCAAAGACAAGGGGGCCCACGAAAAATTGTCTTAAGGGGGTTCCCCGCCAAAAAACGTTGCACCATCAGATTCCATATGTCATAAAACCCCTTTGTACCAAATTTAGTTATTCTCGTACAACAGGGTTCTGAGATATAAAAAAAGGTTATTCTTAGGGGCGGACTTCAGGGGGCTGTAACTCCGAAAGAGGGGGCCACTTGGCAAAAATAAAAAAATACGGCTCCCCTAAATTTGTCTTAAGAATCTGTGACCAAATTTTGTTGCATGAATTTCGAAACACCCTGTATATTATACAGGGTGTTTCGGAATATGTGGGCAATATCTCGGATAATTTCATTTTTTTACACCCTTAATGATAAAGGCACAAAAATAATATTTTTTGATAGCTTAAACATTAAACTAAAAAAGGCATTCTTGGTTGATATCAATAAACTGTACTGTTTTCGAGAAAAAAATATTTTTGTGATGAAATTTGCATTCTTTCTGTGCCTACCTAAAAAAATTCCACTTTTATTTACATTTGTTTTTTCCTAAAAATAATTAAATTACACAAAGTATTTTAAAAGTTATTTAAAACAAATTTCTGGGGCTTCCTTTAGGGGTCTGTATCTAGGTAGGGGGAACTTCTAGGGAAAATTTTTATAGGAACTTGTCATGTTATTTTAACGCCCCCTGTATAAATCAGAGAGATTGCCAACATATTCTGGAATACCCCGTATAAGTAATTTGTGTCTGCTTTTGTCTAATTTTTTTTTTTATAGTCGTTCCAACTTTATTTAAAATAATAATCCTTGCAATGTGACGCAATCAATAATGTCTGCAAAGCAATATCAATAATTGTACTTACATCTATGATTCTCTTAGTGGAGTTCTTGACGTCTACTCCTACGGAAAAGTCTATGAAATAATCCACACTGTAACCAACTTTTCTAAACTTATACACGGACTTCCTCCAATCGAAATCTGCCTCTTTCCACATCGGACCTTCCAACACGGGCCATCCCCCGAGCTCACCCAAAATTAAGTGAATCGTCTCCAGACCTTCATTTTCAATCAGAGTTTTGTTCATACAGGCCCGGTACAGCTTCTTAGTCAGTTGGAAAGGTTTAGGTTCATCCGGGTCTATAGGTTCTTCGATCATGGTCCTGAGTTGTTCCTGTAACATGTCGCTGATGATGCTGAAAGAGGTGACGGACGACTTGTCATCAGGAATGTTGGTTTTCTTCAGGAAGTTGCCACAGGTGAATTCGTAGAAGTCGTCGCAGGGGTCGACGCTTGGATCCATGTACTCCAAGACCCTGGAAGCGGTGTGGATGCAGCCTGGAGATACGCATACTCTTTCGGTTGTGCTGTCATCGGGGGCGTTTATTACAACTGTGTTGCTCTGAAGTGCTTCAAAATGCGTTCCTGGAGAAGATATTTTAATTTACATTTCATGAAATCTGAGAATATTGTTAATAATGTTAGAATTTTTTTCAATTTACAATAATTCTGAAAAATGATCACCATTAATCGTCGAATTGTTATGGTAGTAATTTCCTTTTTACGTTTTTTTCGAAACTTTCAAGTCTGATTACTTTGAACGAAGCTGATAAGAAGCGTGATTAATATTTTCCCAGCATTTTTTTGCTAGGGCTTCCATAATTTTTTAAAGATTGGAAGTAAGACATAATTTTGGATCAATTACAGAGTTACCATTGAAGACACAGGCTTCAAGTTTGATACAGTGCAGTTCCTTGGTAGTAGCTTCAAAAACTTATCAGTAGCGTTAGAATTACGATTTTTAACTGTCAAAAAGTTAGAGACAATGCATTTCTTACGAAAATTATTTTTCGAAAAATTTGTTTCGTTTCACTCTTTTAATTCCGTAGTTTTTGTTAAAAATTTTAAATGAGAAAATACACTGTACCAAATGTAAGAACACATTTTCAGTGATTCTGAAGTAGTTGATCAAAAATAGTGCTTCCCATCCAATTATCGGTGGGTCATAGTCTTTAGGAAAAAATTATAATCTTATTTGTTTGTTTGACAAGATCAATCAAACCTTCTGGTTTGTTTTAATAGTGCTGTTACACCCTGTATACTTAATGAACCATTCTCGCAAAATATAGATCCTATTTCTTCATAGTAGAACTATTAGAGAATTGATTAGAATGGGATACGTATTAGGAAGTTGAAAATGTAATTTAACATACTGCCATTACAACATAGGTGCGACACCTGCAATGTTCGTTAGAAACAAAATAAAAAGAGAGTCATTGACCAACTTTCCATTTGGTGCTGCAATTCAGCTTCTGTCGCAAATGTAGACAAAATAATTGGATTGTGGCGAATCAGTTTTATGGTTGGTGTATCACAAGCATCAGTAGTTGAGTTTGTGTTAAACTTACATTTACATAAATCCTCGTTTTGTTTGTCGGAAACATCTTTTCAAATAAAGAATCCGTTGCCAATTGACTATAGAAAAATAAATAAATAAATAAAAAGACAACGTAAATATTTTCCGAAATATTTTTTTTTTCTTATTAATACCAATAAATTTGTTTGTTAAATAGGTATTAAAAAGAATATGAAGTTTATTCTTAATCTTTGTTGCAATAATTAACATTATAGAAGGAATTTTCTATTACAAACATTATTTAAAGTTATGTACGAGAATATTTTAAACAGAAATTGTGGATTAATTGTGGATCTTCATAATTTCTCATTTATAGAAACCATTTATCGAAACTTGTTTGATTACTTTTGCTCTGTCATCTGTGTGTTGGCAAAAGCAACTAGCAGTGTTGACAAATTATCACCAATCACTAAACAAATACTTACTGGTAACTTGTCTATTCCTACTATATAATACAGTGGCAAGTGCTACGACTAATGAGATTCCAATGACAAAAGCTACTGCGGTAGATAACGTGAGGCAACGCTCCATACTTGTACGCCTTTTCCACCATGTTGGGTTCCTGTAAATAAATAAACAAATTTATTTAAAACGTATTAGAATTTCCACGTGTATATGTCGTCTTGTTATTTCGATCAGGTATAATGTTTCCAAAATACGTTTTAATTTCATTTTATTTCCAAGAACAAACAGACAACAACATTTATAATGAGTTCATTTTATAAAGCTAATAAATTATTTATAACACATTTCCTGAAACCTATGCAGGAAATATTATTACTGATTTGCAGTGTTCTGCTAAATATTTAGATTTTGAAGCTCCATACTGTAGAAGAAGCCCTCGTAAATGTTTTTTTCCAAATTTTTTCATAAGCAATCGAGATTAAAGCAAAGAAATTCAGAACTGAGTATTATTATTAGGTTCTGCACCTAATGCTCAAAAATTAGTTTATAATTGTTATGTCATTGTATCATTGTAAAACACGTAAATTGTTTTACGCATCGTTGCCATCGGTTCCACAATCTAGATGGGATATGTTATAGATCGCATCATCAGGTATGATTCTACCCTTGTTTCAGCGAAACTTATTTGTGGCGGTGATAAAATGTCTTAATCTGAAGAGAACTTCTAAGCTGGTCTGACATAGTTATTTCCATTCGGGGTTGTATTTATTCCAGTATGAATGAAATGTTTTACTATTTACTTTATCAAATCGTAGGTTACATGCAATCAGTATGAGGATTAAATCAAACATAAATTGAGTCTTCTGGTTTTCGCCCGTTATTTTTCGTGTGTTGTGGTGCACTATTTAATTCTTATTACTTTATGTTTATTAATATTTAATTTAAACGTTTTCATATACAACAACTATATATACTGAATTACAATATTGTTTATATTTTTTTAGTAAACGAAAGTATTATTCGTTATCTAGTTACCTTTGCCTATGACATGCACTTGAAATGCGCTTTGTTGGACAAATTTACTATTGATAAAGTTGGGATGCTGACCTGAGTACATAATTTATTAATTTGCTTACTTTTCTATTAATTTTATAAAAAAATAATAAATCAAACATTTAAACGACGAAAGCAGCTTAAATAGGTACTTTAAGAACTCATTATTTTCTTTAACTTTCATAAAATTCTTTTCTATTCCAAAAAATATATCTGTTTTGTTTTCCACCTGAATAGTTTTTATATGATTATAATTTTATAGCTATTTAACGGTATATTTGTTTTGTTTTAGTCACTGTAGTATGAATTGTTTGCTGTTTTTTAGCATTAACTACGCTCGATATAATTATACACAATTATGGATCAAAAGAAAACTAAAATCGTAAAAAAAATCTCTCGCGTGGCTGACTGACGGCGCTAATGGCTAGCGGACCGATTGTGACAGCTCTGTAATAATAGATCCGGCTATAAGTTGTGTCAAATTTTGATTAAAAACATAAAATTGTAATATTTACAATTCTCAAAGTATTAACTATAATTTGTAGATTTTGTCACAGTTTCCAGTATGGTAGCAAAGCTTCTATCCATACCTACATGTTCTACAATTGTTTTTCTTGATTCTATTTCCTAATTAGTTTTCAAAAGATAATCGCATTTTTTCAATTACAAATATATAAATGTTTCAATTATCTTATTTAACAGTAATGGATCTTAAAAATTTTGCTGAGATAAACACAAAAATGTTTAACAATTATGAGCCAAAAATATATCGATAAGTGTATTTTTATCAGAAAGCTGGTTTTCGTAAGATGTAAATATATAGTATCAAACATAATGATCTTAATAATAAATAATGTTATTATTAGAAGTAAATGTGACTATATTATTCAATTAATAGTTGTTATAATAATAGCAGCATTAACTATGTTTTCACATATTATGAAGCAAAGTACAAAGCACTATAAAGAAATTATAATTATAATTGCAATAACACCATTCATAAAATGTGCTTAATTAATTTTAAGAATTAATTCTTATTTTCAAATAAAATATAATACGAAAGTACATTTCAACATATTTATGTAAAAATAAACACGAGCCTGCCATTTTTATTTTTGTTTAGAAAATTAAACATTGGCATTATTATATTTATTTTGTAAATTTTTCAATCTAGCATGTAATTAGATTCAGAAACAGTTTGTTAAATATATTCCGCTTTTCGTAAATGTGAAATATAGTATTCTGAAAGTTTATTTTTTCCAAAATATCAACAAGTCACGTGCAATGAAGTGAAGTATATACTTTTTATGTCACAACTGAATTAAACTTACTTGGTCTCGGTGATTTTCGATTTTACGCCAGCATATGCGACACCCTTATATGTTTGCGGCATGTTTGTTCACTCGCACTACTAATATAAATAAAAAAAATAAAAACTATCTGTGTGACAAAAATTTTGTAAACTACTGACAACACGTTAAACTTGACATGATTGCTGGCGACGTATTTGTGAAAGTGGGTACCCCAATTCTAATAAAATATCTCCATCCATATCAGATTCATCGAGATAATTTTAGAAACATTGGTCAAAATAAATCATAATGCACTGCGGCCCCCTTTCCTGCTTTCGCAGTCTAATAGAAACAATTGATGAGTAATGTCACTTTTGAGTAATAATTTCTCGAATATGATTAGAGCTATGGATTAGTGTTCGTTGTAAATTAAATTAGTAATATATTATCTATTATAGACAAAGTAGATTGATTAATTGTATTTTTTTTTTCTAAACATGCTACATAGAGTAAAGTCCTTAAATATTGAGGAAATGGTAAAGATTTTCAAGTTTATTGCCTGTTATGTCCAATTTTGAACAATCTTCACCTCTTCGTTTCAAGAACCATGTTTATTTTTTCTCTAACTTTAATTAAAATATTGAAATCTGAACATAGAACCTCAAAGCATTAAGTAAGAGCTCATGAACGTCTTAGGAAAATTTGCAGTTAATACGAGAATTCATATTAACTGTTGTTTTAAGTACCATAGTTATGGATCTATAAATGCTATAGAATTATAACTAACGGAAACTTCAGCTAATAACAATAAAACTGGTAATTATTTCCGCATAATATATCGTCCCCAACAACATATTTCTGTAGAGAAAATTTCACACCAGACAAATCGTTAATCATTTAAATAGAAACATGACGTTTGTATATTTTAATTTTTTGTGACTGAAGTAACGGAAATTATAATTTGATAATAAACTTTGCTAAATCTTCATAATTGCTGCTGAATGTTAATTATAAAGTATGCAAGTCTTAAAGATATTAAATTGAATTTTTTATTCTTCTCCGAATTACATATTTAAAAAAAAATAAATAAGGATAAAAATAAACTCGGTTTGTTAGACAGGGTGCTGTTTGAGTAAATGTAAGTATAATTTTAGTATAAATCTGTATACAGGGTGTCTCATAATTACTGTCCAATAATTTACCACTTGATACTATTGCCAAAAATAAGAATATTATTTCATATGAACATGGGTCGAGCTACGCCCCTCTAAATGGGGCCTCAAAACATTACTTTTTTTTTTAATTTCCGAAATGGGTTGAAGGAAAATTATTAATTTTGACATCGTGAACGCTCATTAAAAGTTCATTATAAAATTTTTCAAAAATTTTGGTCAGGGGCGTCTCAATTGGGGGGTCGTCGGCTAAAATTTGCCCCAATTTTTTTACTTTTCAATTTTCAAATTCAGATGCCAACAGATGATGGACCCTCCTTTCCTATACAAAAAAGGTACTCTTTATTTCCTTTCGATAAAATGCTTAAATATATAATAAAATAATATTTATAAGAAAAACGAATCATTACATTTCATTACACATGTTAACAAAATCCAAAAAATTTTTCTTGATTAGCTAAAATGGGTACATGTACCATTATGAATTTTGGTATGTTGTTTGGTATCATTATACATTGTAATAAACAACGTGAAAAGTCCTTTTGTTATGTGCGTCCTAAGCAGAGGGGGGGGGGGAGTTCGAGTACAATTTTTTTTTACGATTTGAGTTTTCTATTAAAAATGGTAATGTTGTTTTATATCGAAAAAGTAATCCGTTTTCGAGAAAAATCGGTTAAAATATGTTATAACATTTTCTAAAGTGTGCTTTTCTAAGCATTTAAATCCATTTTTCCTGGAAATAGAGCATTTTATCGAAAGAAATAAAGAGTACCTTAGGAGAAATGAAGGAATATGTTGGCTCCAATTGAGACGCCCCTAATCAAAATTTTTGAAAAATTTTATGATTATCTATTTCGACTTTTATGGTTTCATGGTTCAAAATTCATAATTTTCCTTCAACCCATTTCGGAAATATTTTTAAAAAATGAATTTTTTGAGTCCCCATTTAGGGTGGCGCAGCTCCCTTAGAAAGCATTTCTCGTCCAATGTTTATATGAAAAAATATTCTTATTTATGGCAATAGAATCAAGTGGTAAATTATTGGACACTAATTATGTGACACCCTGTATAAACCCATGCATGGCAATGCAATATTTAGGGAAACGATTATTCAATTGTCTGTTTAGTACTATTTTTGCTAATGTGTTCTATAAGTATATCTTTCTTTCTTATGTTCACTAATTTTTATTTTATGTTAACACGATATTAGTCTATTTAGTCAGTTTGAATTTCAGTTTTCGTTTTTTTTTTAATTAATGTAATAAATTTTGTATTAAAAACCAATTTTATGACATTTTGAAGGCATTGTTTAATATACATATATCAAATTTATTATTTTATTCTTTTATTTAAGTTGATATACCTTCATAATTTTCGAGTTGATATACTGTAAATAAATCGGTCTGAGTGAAAGCAAAAATGAACTGAGTGAATCCATTCATTTGGGCCATTTTGGCATTTTGATAATATTTGAAAACTATAATGATAGTTCCACTCATAAAATTTTAGTTGTAGGTACTCGTACTAATAGAGGAAAATTTTACTCAATCGGGTGCGGACAGAAATTGATAGATTACTTAGTGAAATTGAGTGTAAATAAGCCCAATTTCTTTTACAGTGTAATAAAAGGAAATAAGTTGCCCAAATATTATGAAGAAATAGCTTATTAATTGAAATATCTGAGATTTCCAATTTCTCATAGTATTTTAAAATCCTCGTAAATTCGACATCAATGCGATTTGGTAAACGTAGAAAGTTTGTCTACACTGATTATGGTTTTTCAAGGAATTTACGATAAGTAAAGTATCGCGATGATAACTTTTAAAATTTATACCTACAATTCAAACAATGAATTTATTCTGAGAGTTCACCACTAGCGTCACAGATTACAAGACGATAATTTTTATCAACGCCCCTTTGTGTTTAAGTATCGGCAAACTTGAGAAATAACTATGTTGTAAATGAAAAATAATTATTGTCATTGAACGACTAAAGAAAACGCGCCAACAAAACAACTGACAACAACACTATACAAAAACATACAACTGAAATGAATTAGTACTTTGTTTAACTCAAAAAATAAACTAACAAATAATTAATATGTATAAATTGTTTCTTTGGAGTTAGTTTTTCATATTGATTTTGGTATGTTAATAATGAATTTCACTTACTTAATTTCGTTGATTTTTGCTTTCACACCGACATATCTAACTCTCTTATATGTTTCTGACATGCTTGTGCACTAGCACTACTAACTAACATAAACAAAATTATAAGAAACATCTTGCTTTATTGTCGCACTCAAGAAGCATTAAAATTTATTATCCATTATACATCCAACAATTAATTATTGCAAAATTATATTTACGAGCTGATTATTAAGGATAGTACTATACCAATTGAAAATTGGTAGTTAGAAACCTTGGTTAGCAATGACCGCAGATGATGTAAACGTTTGAACAATTAACAAAAACAGCTTATTTAACTAAAGAACAAATTATTAAATTGATTGCTGTGTAAAAAAATGTTAATCTAATGGAGTTGTTATCTAATGGATAATTGCAATCACATGGCTTTTCCAAACGATTTTAAAAAATCATAAATAACATGCAATCGTCTAATACGCGCTAACCGCACAAGATGTAAAACTAATTACAAGGCGGTACGGAACAATCTTTTCATGTTTTAACATCCTACAATTTCAAATCATAAGAACGAATGTAGCTGAATAACCTTTCAGATAAAAGCAAAACTATAGACAATGTTCTTGCAAAATTTAAATAGAATATTGCACAATGAAAGTGGCAATAAAAACGTCTAAAATTTGTATATTAGAATTATAAATAAATTACAGTTAGAATTGTAAGGTTTGAACACTTTTTTCACTTAAAATGTGTACACCGGCTATTACGTTTCTTCTAGTTGGATGAGCATAGACAGTATAGACGCATGTTTTTGTGGGTTACAAGATTTTATTGCATTGTGTGAAGTGGAAAATTGTGTAAGTAAATATATCTAACTGTTTTGTGGTTAGTAATTGTTTTTATTTGTCGTATTTAAATCTTGTGTAAATCTCAAAAAGTACCATCTTGTGTGCCCTATTAGAAACCGTTGATGTTAAACTTCAGATAAAATAAAGGAACAGAAAGCTAACGGTGACAAAGAAAAGCACGGTAAAAGTCCATAAACCAGAGGAAATAGAGTTGAAAGAAATGGCCAGCATCTCAGAGATTCTTAGGGTAGAAGAGTTATAGTGCAAATTCCTATATGTATAATGTACGTACAAAAAGATCTCTATTAAGGAGCGATTTGTCATCATTTTTAACACTTAAATGTTTGTCATAGAAAGGTTAGAACCTCTGCTTGTAATTATAGTTCCACAATAAAATTTGTGAACAATTAATATGTCGTATGTTTTTATCTAATACAGCGTATACAGCAATTTAATACATTTATTATTATAAAACTTGTATAACACAGGCTATATACCAGTTATACATTAATTTAATAAAAAATATTGGTTAACAAAGCATGTTTTATATTCAATGTTTACCTGTTTGTCTGGCACATATAGTGTACAATGGCATTTAGAATTCTAATAAAGAATAAAGGGCATTTTATTCAGTGTATGGATTTCTAAGATGATACATAATTTTTCTCATGGTTCCTAAGTAACATCCGATGCCTAAATATACTGATATTAAGTTTATATATTTTCACTAATTTTATTATAAATAATCAATTGAAAGGTCTCTAATAAACCACAACAAATACACAATTTTAAATTGGATTTAGATTGTTATAGCATTGTCATTACAGTAAAGGAAATCATGACAATCGGCAAGAGATTAATGATTTTTAATGTACATCATTATCATTAGGTAAGTATAATAATTTTATAAATAATTTAGATTTAATCATAATTTGAGTTACAGCAATTAAGATTAA